CAACTTCAGTTGCACCGTGACTGGGTTGATGATCTTTACTATGGGGAATGGTCCCATGAACTTTGGCCCCAATTTCTTGCTAAGGAGTCAACTCCAGATATTTGGTGGAGACGTAAACCTTCTCCCCCAACTGGGAATGGCCGTTGCGGGGCTCAGTGTTTGTCTGCCTGTCTCTTATAGGTCTGTGCTGCTTTTGCCAGCACTTTTTTTGACATTCTCCCAAGTTGCTTTCAGCATTGACATCCAATCAGTCAGGCTGACTGAGGAGGGGGATCCCTTGGATACTCAGGTATTGGAACGAAGTCCTTACCACTCACTACCTTGAGGTAGTTTAGTCTCATGCTGTGAACAGCATTATTGTACGTGACCTCCGTGACAGATAGGACGTCCACCCAATTGGACTGCTGATAATACATGTAGTACCTCAAGTACTGCTCTACCATGGCATTCAACCCCCGCCCATTGGTGCTCAGATGAAAGGCCAAGCTAAGACCCTGGGACGACCCAATAGACTGCAGGAACTCCCTCTGCCATGGCTGAGTTTCTCTCCATACACCCTAGATGTCAGGGAACAATGGGAGAGGCCAGGCGTCAGGTACACTGGTAATGGTGATTAATTATGGGAATCAGCTTGCTGACAAGATTCCAGCAGTTGCCCTAATTAAATCATTAGCCTCAAGCCAAACTTCAAAACCTATAATGAATTTATTAGGAGTGAACATGTCAGCAGGACCTGTTTGAAGCCAATTCTGAGACACACAATTCCCTTGTCACCCTTGACCCTGGTTTCCCCCCACCCCTTTGGGTGCATCATAATTTATATTCTCCAACAAAACATGTCCATAGCCAAGAGTCATCAATCATGTTTTCCAATTAGAGATTTTTGTGGCAGAAATTCCAGTCGCCTAGTTACAATCTCTGCAAGTTATGAATGGCATACACTTTCGATTCCAAACTGCTGCACTGCTCTTTCAAACTCCTCCCCCCTTTCTGTTGGCAATTATAAAACGGGCATAGAAATGTTTTATGAGTTAACGCAACATTTGATGAAAACCAAACACAGCGTATTAGCACAAGCATCTCATACAAACTGCAAAGCACAATGGTGGAGCAGTGATGCTTTGGGCTTGTTTTGCAACTGCAGGACCTGGACACCTTGCAGTCATTGAGCCGACGATGAACTCCTCTGTATACCAAAGTATTCTAAAGTCAAATGTGAGGCCATCTATCCCAGAGGTCACCAACCAGCGGTCCACGGACCACAGGGGGTCCGTGAGAAAATTTTGGTGCTCCGCAGCGCAGCCGTGTTTGCAACAGGGGTGATATTGGTGGCGGATGGACTGATGAGCGCGGGGAGGGTAGCACATGGGAGCAGCATCAGAGCTCTTCCTGGATGTTCCCTGGCCTGCAAGGGGAGGGCGCAATCTCCCATGCCCTTCCCCTCAGGAGTTCCAAAGTGCTTGCCGCCCCTCTGGTAGCCGACAAGCCTCCTCCCACCGTGCTTCTCTTCCTCCTTGCCAGAAGCGCTCACACACCCAGCGGGGAGGAGGCTTGGTGGGTGCCAGAGGAACAGTGAGCGCTTTGTGGCTCCTGAGGGGAGGGGTTGAGCCTCCCCCTCGCAACATCTTCACCTGAGGGCATCGCTGGCAGCCACTTCCTGCAGTTCAAGAGGTCCACGCTCTTCCCACTGCTGTTCGGCCTCCTCGATGTGCGGAGGCAGGAGGCAGCAGCCATGACACGGGTTTGCTAGGGAGACTGCAGGATTGCCCCACCACCCCACCAGCCATCTGGTCTTCAGCACGTGGCTCGTCGGCCTCCGGACATCAGATTCCCACCACCCAGCACCAGTTCAGAGGTTCCTTTCCCCCACCCCCGGGGACAGAGAGAGGGGGAAAAGAGAGAGACAAGACACACACACTCACACACACACACACAGAGAGAGAGAGAGAGAGAGACAGACTGAAAGAGGGAAAAAGAGAGGGAGAGGGAGAGAGAGGGAAAGAGACAAGACAGAGATGGAGAGAGGGAAAAAGAGAGAGACAAGACACACACATACACAAGAGAGGGAAAGAGAGAGACAAGACAGAGAGAGAGAGGGAGAAAGGGAGAGAGGGGGGGAGGGAAAGAGAGAGAGAGAGAAATGAGAGAGATGAGAGATCCCAGTGTTTTGTTTTCTGTGGGAAATGGATCCAAATGACTCTGTGTATTTAAGGTTGCAGAAGCAGGCAGCCAAGCTAAGTGCCTGAAGGACCCTATCCTGTCAGTGGGAGTCCAGGCGCTTCAGCGAATGGCATGCTGGATTCATATTAGTGGTCCGCAGGATTTAAAATTATGAATTTGGTGGTCCCTGAGGTCCAAAAGGTTGGAGACCCCTGATCTATCCAATAGTTAAAGCTTGACTGACATGGGATTATGAAACAAGACAATGGTCATAAAACACACCATCTTTTTCACAATGGCTGAAAAAGAAAAGGTAAAAGCTGTTGCAATGGCAGTCAAAGTCCAGACCTCAACCCGATTGGCGGGACCTCAAGAGAGTTGTGCATAAAAAACTCTCAATGGACTAAAACAATGTTGTAAAAAAGATGGGCCAGAATTCCTCCACAACACTGCAAGAGACTGATAAAGTCACACAGAAAATAATTACTTCTAGTTGTTGCTGTTAAAGGTGGTTCTACAAATTATTGAATCATATGTTTTTTCACACACGACCTCTCCATTTTGGCTTTCTTTTTATAAAAAAATTATAACCTGATGTAATATGTCATGTATTGTTCTTCATCTGTGGTTGTATTTATCTACTTTTAAGAACTTCTAAGGACCAATTGATTTTTACTACGTCCTGATATATAAAATCAAAGAAGTCAAGGAGAGTGTAATTTTTTTTTTCACATGACTGTTTATCTGGAAGTCCCGGGGAGAGATTATACATTTGCAGATATATATATATATACACATATACACATACACACACACACACACACACATACACACATTCAGAGAGAAATAAAAATACATGCACCTACAATAAAGAAAAAATCCATGTCTTTCAAGCCTGAAAAACATCTCAAAATGGTAACAGCCAAAGACTAATGTTAATCAGGAATCTGATGAATTTGATGATTGCTCGTCTGTTCAGATGGCAAGGTTGAAGTTTAGGCCTCAACAGGCTTTACACTGGCGACAGGAAGGGCACCCAGCCAGTAAACACTCAGCTCCATTAAGTTGTCCCAACACCACCCCTCAAGGCATACATACACACACATACTATTTTAAAATTTAAAATTTTCGCGTTTAAATTCTAAATCACTTGGAATTATATCACTTGGAATTATATGTAATTATATTATATAGAATTATATAATTATTAATTTATAATGATATAAATTCTTTCTTTCACCCATCTCTTCCCACTTATGACTGTATGAATGTAACTTTGTTGCTTGTATCCTTGATTTTTTATTGTCTGTTTACTAGTATGATTTGATCACTTATTATGTTTCCTAGTATGATTGATTGCTTATTTGTACCCTATGACAACTATTAAGTGTTATACCTATGATTCTTGACAAATGTATCTTTTCTTTTGTGTGTCCAATCACACTTGGCCAATTAAAAATTCTATTCTATTCTGCTCTATTCTAAATTAAGGCTCTAGCCAAGAGCCTCTTGGTTTCTCCACATGCCTGGCCTAGTCATGGTTGTTGGGTGTCCTTGAAAGATATCACATGATTGCGATATACTAAACAAGATTGTAACCTGTCTTTTTGAATGGTGTTGGTGAAATAAACAATCTTGGAATTCTTTGGAGTCTTCTAATCCCAGCAAAATCAAGATAATCCCTCTGCATATTTGAAGGAAACAGTTTTGGAAAAAATTAAGGAGCCCTGGGAGAGAAGTGAAACAACAGGAAAACGTCTTGTCCCAATGTTTACAGAATTGGTGACACTTTTCTTTATTTTTCTTTCTCAAAAGCTATTCATGATTCTTACACAATGCTGTTTTAGAAATTAAACATTATCTACTATGCAATCCCCGTCCCTACGTCTCCCCACCAAGGTAGGGGACCACAACAGCATCAGTCCCTTGGTGCTCCTCTCAACCCCCAGCCATCAAAGGCTAACAAGGAGGCAAGCAAAGGAGATCACAGCAGGAGTTGCGAATAAAGCTGGAGATCCTGCGGCCAAAACTACAGTCCCTTGTCTCCTCAAGTCAACATTCCTACAGCTCTTCTCCATGAAGGTCACCTGCAAGGCACAACAGCCTTTACATTTGAAATTTTACCCTGGTTTTGTCACTGCCGAAAACTCCCCCAATATATTTGCTACTTATATGGCGTCTTCTACTTGGGTACCTCATTCTTGACACAATCTGATCAGACACGCTTGGTGCGCTGAATTCCTGGGACTGTTAAGAAGAGATGAACTTTGAAACCGTCTACTTCTTCTCTCGCTTTTTCATTATATGAGGAGCCACAATCTCTAACTTTAGTCTGAATGCTCCTATCCCACAGAGATGCTGGCTGGAGAATTCTGAGGCTGAAAATCATGGAGCAGACAAGGAAGAAAAAGGCTGGGACTCTGTACGTGGCATTTCTAATATCTACCATGATAAAAATGCAAAGAACACTCCCAAAATATTTTTACATAATTGCAAAATTTCTGCAAAAATAAATATCCAGAAACTTCTGCTGCTGATGGCCAAATAGCCATTATCAAACTAATATGTTTTAATGTGTTCTTTTCTTCTTCCCATCTAATATCATTACATATTTACCTACAAAAAAATCACGCAAATTCTTTGTAGCCAAATTAAATAGTCAGTTTCTCAACTGTACTTACAATGGGACTATGAAAGAAATTCAAACCTTCTCTACACTCATCACTTAGGGCCTCAGATGGATTTTCTTGTGTGTAATAAAAGCAGAATGTTTCCTGAAGGACAATCGACACTTGGGGCACTTAAATGGTTTCTCCCCTGTGTATATAAGCATATGATTTCCAAGGTTAACCCTACTCCTTCCCACAGTCTGGACAATCATAATGTTTCTCTCCTGTGTGTGTCCTCTGGTGTCTCACCAGGCTGGAATTGTGACTGAAACTTCTCCCACAATCAGGACATTTAAAGGGTTTCTCTCCTGTGTGAGTCCTCTGGTGGCTAATAAGGTGGGAATTGGTACTGAATCTTTTCTGACAATCAGGACATTCAAAGGGTTTCTCACCTGTGTGAGTTCCCTGGTGTATCACCAGGTTGGAATTCTGACTGAAACTTTTCCCACAAACAGGACA